GGTTCTCAAGAGTGTTTCTATCGAAGTAGAGATAGTGTAAGCTTAAAATTCACACGCTTATCAGCATTGTGAATTGGAGGGTCCGAGAGAGACAATTAGGGTTGGGAGGAGTCCTTGTAATATCTTGAGCATAAGTCAAGATAGGTTCTTGTAACCTGTTCAAGTCAACAGTGAAATTTACTCGTGTGTGGTGGTTTGTGAAGATGTTGGAGACGGCTTGATACGGGTGTGTGCGCGGAATATAGTGTATTGTTCACTGGCAGAAGGAGGGGCAGATAGAGTCAACCATATGACATTATAGTGAGGAGGGTTGTATGTGAAGATAAGTGGGCATCTGGAATAGAGCTCGTGGTATGTGGCTGTGGTATTGGTGTGTTTTTTATGGGGGAGTTGTTGGGATATTTTGGGGGATGTATCAGGATTATAGTGGTAGATTGGGTAGAAGCGTAAGAATGTTATATTGTTTTGATAACTCTATTTTTGAATAATGGTTAGTACATTATTATTTTAATATCTGGCAGAAGTTGCAATGATTGATTTGTGGGTGTGTCTGTGTATGAGGTGCCTGAATTTGAAAATATTATACTGATACACTTACGGAGGTCATTTTTTTTATTCATAGTTGAATAGTAAAGAATATATAAAGAATATATTTACATTTACATATATTTATTGAATATATTAAGACGTACAACACTAGAATCAGAAGAATTTGTCATTTAATGATATCCGCCTCCGTTTTGAGGGAAGACGACGGCAGGACCAGAAACTTTGGGGTGCTGAGCCTTGCCGGAGAAGCTGACCTTGGCCACGAATCCCTGCCGTGGTCAGCTGTGTAGTCCACCTGTAAAAGGGAAATTGTTTAAGAACGGTTTATGGTGAGGCTTAGATTTGTAATATACAAAGGCATTGGGAAGGAAGGAGTGAGTGATGCATGTTTATAATTACGGTTTGTTTGCGACCGTCGGGGAGGGCGACGGTGTAGGATCCCCAGACGCTGTTCCCGTCGGACTTCTCACTCTGGCCGAAGTTGGTTCCCTTGTAAGCGTCGTTCACGGCGTAGTTGAAGCCGTAAGGTAAAGGGACCTAGAAAAGAAATGTTCAAAGTAACTGGTTTTCAGTAGATTAAATAATACAAAAAGAAAGAACGGAAAAAATACTTACAGAGGCATACACTGGGCCGTAGTTGCCAGGGAAGGCATGGGCGACGACCAACACAACCAGAATTACTGTGGCCTGGATGTGGAATAGATTACATGTAACGATTAATTTAGAGCTGATATTGAATTCTAACGGTATTTGTATGTGTATTTGTATCGTGTTTCTATCATTGATGAGCGCGTTTATCTGATACCCATTTATTGCGAAACAAAATAGGCATTTCACTGTTTTACTACTGGAAATGTACAACTATATGTATTACATTTAATTATAGAATTTGTTTATTTATATAATAAATTTGAAACCTTGGTATAACATATCTAACACGTTCGAGTAAGTTAATAAACGCACTTGATAAATCATCTTGTGAGTGAGAGGTTGTGCAGGAGGTGTCTTTGGTGGGTTGACTGGCTTTGCATTGTTCGAGCATGCTTTTATATGCTGCAGACTGTCACTTAGGATGTAATGATACGATGACGATGACTAATTTTTCGGTCTTTGGAGTTTTCAACCCTGATTAGCCAATGTAATGGTTGATTGTCGTCAAGCGTTTGTTTGGAGATACATTTGTGAGAGGGTGGATGAATGAATGGATGGATAACTCTCTCTCTCTCTCTCTCTCTCTCTCTCTCTCTCTCTCTCTCTCTCTCTCTCTCTCTCTCTCTCTCTCTCTCTCTCTCTCTCTCTCTCTCCACACACACACACACATGAATACAAACATACACGTGCGTGTACATAGATCTATATCAACAACATGGCTCAACAGGATGGGTGTTCGCCTTGCACCTAGGCCCTAGCTGCTGCCTCCCTTCCTGGCTTCGTACTTAGTTTGCCCAAGTACTTTCTCCCCCTCGAGGAATTCCGGCGAACTCACCCCTTTGTCACGGCCGGAAGTACTGACACCCCAAAATGCAGAAGCAGGCACCTTCCCAAGACAGGGGTCGCAGGATAAAAGGACGTCTCGTCAGGCAGCGTGAGAGACCGAGCCGACAGGAGAACAGAAGCACACCCAGAACAGGGCAGCTCGCTCTCCGTCCTCAGCACCCGAGGCACGGGTCTCTCGTGGGGTCACGCCTCTCCCTCCCCCAATAAACCAGAAAGCCAAAACCCCCTTTCATTCCACCACCTCTTCGCCCCCAACTCTTTTACAACCTGGTGCAAAATTGTATTCTAAGTATCTTTATTTTATTTATATATTTAACATATTTGTATTAGGATTGTTCCCTGAGTTTTTTGTTTTATTTTATTTTTTTAAATTGTCCTTGTTATCATGATTTTTCTTTAACTAATATCACCAGTGAGTAAGGTGAGTAAGATTATTATAGATATATGTGTGTGT